ATTAAAACAAGGAGTGCTAAGGTGTGATTCCTGCTAAAACGATGGGCTTACTTTTTAGCTTGCTTCATTACTTTTGAGTGCAAGGTGAGTAAAGAAGACCAAAACGCTGGTCAGCTCTATTTACCTGCTTATAACTGAACCCCTGCTGGTAGGACTGAATCTGAGTTCATGGGTGTTGTTCCAAGTACTGCTGAGGAATTGCATGACATACGTGACTGGCTCAGTCACATGAGAAGTCAGTGGCAGAAATAAGAAATTAATTGTATTTCCCAGTGTAGGGCATGTAACTATACCATTTCCATAATTCTGCATATGAATTTCTCTTTGGAAATAATGCAAATATTTAACTTTTCTCACCTACATAGTAATGCCTTTCTTCTGTCAGCAATCATAGATGAAGGCCAGGCTATTTTAATATGCATTTCTATATATCTCCTAATAAATTACAATTTTAACTCTTTGCAAGGCTCTTGCTGTATCCTTTATTACAATTCAAAACAAATTTAGCACTGTCAAAGTAACTGAAAAAAAAGTTCAGTATGAATGATGTCAGGGCTACATCAGGAAGACAGCTAGAGAAAGTCAGGCTAACTACAGCCAAAGAGATCCAGCTTGCTTTATTTGAACAAATTTCTTCTAGAGAGGGTGGAAAGGAAATATGTAAAACATCAAAATTGCATACATCTCGTGTTTAAACGTTTCCCCAGAAGTTTGACCAAGATTGAAAGTTAACCTTTAATTCAAAGAATAGGAAATACCAGGGAATAATTTACAAGGCCACAGGTCACTAGGGGGATGCAGCAGTCTGACTCTGTAAACCACAAGCAAGCAACGTTAAATGAATCCTCGGTGGCTTTTATCTCATTTTCAAGGGATTGTACATCTGTTACATATTTTTAAATGCTGGTGGTGATCAAAACAATGTACAGAAGAACATGCATAACCATGGGGACTAATAAGAGACTTTCTGTAATCATGCTTGAGGAGGTACCAGAACTGAAGCCACCGAAACCCACAGGCAAAAGTTTTACATGTCATAGAAGGCATTACATCACCTAGTTCTGCTCTGCATTTAAAGTTAGATTAAAAGTACTCCAAAGTCACTGCCTGCACAAGTGTTCATAGAATCATAGAATCACTTTGGTTGGAAAAGACCTCTAAGATCGTCGAGTCCAACCATTAACCCTGCAGTACCAAGTCCACCTCTGAGCCATATCCCCAGGCACCCCATCTACACGGCTTTTAAACACATCCAGGGATGGTGACTGAATCACCTTCCTGGGCAGCATGTTCCAATGCCTGACAACCCTTTCAGTGAAATAGTTCTTCCTAATGTCCAGTCTGAACCTCCCCTGGGGCAGCCTAAGTCCATTCCCTCTTGTTCTATCACTAGTTAGTTGTGAGAAGAGACCAGCACCTACCTCTCTACAACATCATTTCAGGAAATTGTAGAGAGCAATAAGTTCCCCCTCAGCCTCCTTTTCTTCTGACTAAATAGCCCAAACTCCCTCAGGTGCTCCTCATAAGACTTGTGCTCTAGACTTTTCACCACCTTAGTTGCTTTTCTTTGGACCTGCTCCATCACCTTGATGTCTTTCGTGTATTGAGTTGCCCAAAACTGAACACAGTACTCAAGGTGTGGCCTCACCAATGCCAAGTACAGAGGGACAATCACCTCCCTGGTTCTGCTGGCCACACGATTTCTAATACAAGCCAGAATTCCATTGGCTTTTTTGGCCACCTGGGCACACTGCTGGCTCATGTTCAGCTGCTTGTCAGTCAGTACCCCCAAGTCCCTTTCTTCTGAGCAGCTTTCCAGCCACTCTTCCCCAAGCCTGTAGTGTTGTGTGGGGTTGTTGTGTTTCAAGTGCAGGAACCAACACTTGGTGTTCTTGAAGCTCATACAATTGACTGTGGCCCATAGATCCAGTCTGTCCAAGTCTCTCTGTAGAGCCTCCCTACCCTCAAGCAGATCAACACTCCCACCCAACCTGGTGTCATCTGCAAACTTACTGAAAGTGCATTCTTGTCACCTCACCAGTATGACTGAAGATGTTAAACAGAAGTGGTACCAGCACTGAGCCCTGGGGAGCACCAGTTGTGACTGGCCATCAGCTGGATTTAACTCTATTCACCACCACTCTCTGGGCCTGGCCATCCAGCCAGTGTTTTACCCAGCAGAGCATACACCCATCCAAGCCATGAGCAGCCTTTTCTTTCATGGGCATGCTATGAGAAACAGTGTCATCATGCAGAAGTGAATGTGGCTATCAGGCTGCTCCCTGAAAGAGGAGGTGAATCCCTTGGTGTTCATAATCCCTCTTTCAAGGCCCAGAAACCACACTGAGCTTCCAGAAAAGCGGTTTCAGGCTGCAAGCATTAACAGTGGCCCAGTCACACAGCTGGAAAGAGCAAGACTTCGAAGGTGAAGTCCACTAGTTGTTTAAAGTTCGATGGTGAAATAATGCAATGGAGAGGGGGGAATAACTATGAAGGGAAATATCTGTGTGGAATAAAAATTGTTGAAATCCACATGAATTGGAGGTATCTAGAGAGGGTTGCAAATGGTGACCTTTCCCTAAGCTGTAGTCGTTTCTGCTGTTGCTGCTTTTTGTTAGACATTTACAGGTCTCCCTTTCCCTCAAGCTCTAAGATGGGAATGGCACCTCAGGGGGATGTCTGTGAGATTTAATTATCTGTCATTTACCAACAATCCTGGGTAAAGTAAGAACATCTTACTCTACTAAGTGTACTTCTGTAATTCAAATTAAAAAAAACCCAAAACTTTATAGTTATGAAATTTAATGATTTGTGTATATGCAGTACATATATAGAGCTTGTAAACGTTGTTTAATATCTGAGAAGTGACTGGGGAATGGAAGTCCTGGTTTTGATTATCAGGGAGTATCTGTGAGCTGTGAGAACCTCTGTCCGTTCTTTTGCTGACTTCTATGAAAGCTTGTATGAAAGTACAAGGTTTGTACTCCAAATTACAGCCCCTACAAGGGCTGAGGGGGGAATAACTTTGCAATGGGTGTTGACTCGCTGTTCAAAACAGAAGTCTGCAAGTCCTCAAGCACCAGCTCTGATTTGATTACAGGAGAAATCTGAATATAAATCTAAACATCTGAGTTTTGAATAGCATAAAATAACTTCCAGATAGCAGTGAAGTTACTGCTCTGAAAACTAATTGTGACATAATTCAGATGACTTGTGTAAATAATTATCCGAACACAAGCAATAAATTAGAAGGTCTTTCCCTTTGATTCTGGTGTTCCACAAGGTTGTAGGAATGGACCCTTCTCCCTACGAACCCTCCTCCCTACATTTTGTATAGCATTTCTTTATCTGATTTACTACACTGTGGTCTCACAGGGGTTAACATACCTCTCCACGAACACTGGGCAGCTTAACTGAGTTGCTGCTGCTGGCTGGCTGTACCAGTAGGGACTTTGGGGTTTTTACCCTCAGCATGGGTGGAAGGGGAAGGAGAAGGGCTGCTGTCTGCCCAAAGAGCCTCGTCTCTCAGACCAAAGACATCAGAAAGGCCAGGCATCCTGAGACCATCCCCACTTCTGCTGAAGGCTTGCCCACAGCCTGTGAACTGGAATTTAATTTTTGGCTTTACAGGGCTCCCCTATTGAGACTTTAAAGGTTTGCAAATGCTACTAGTATCTCATATAAAAACAGATCAGCTGGGGCTTGGCAAGAGGCGTGGAGAAGATTTATAAGACGCCTGTCATGGCAAGAAACACCATCAACAAGCCATGCAGCCAAATACTGTCCTACTTATTTCCTTACAGATGAAAATGTGGACAGTGCTTCTAAAATAACATCCTTGGCTGTTTCTGTCTCCTGGCTTGTAAAGTGACACTCCACAGAGTTTAAGCACGGCAAAGCAGCGTGGACCATTTGCTCCAAGAGCTATCATGTCTTCAGAACAAAAGATAAAAGAGATAAATAGCCAAGTACAGTATCGTACCTCAACAACCTAAAAGCCAATCTCAGAACTGTATGGAAGAATGTAGAGCTTTTATTTCTTGTTTTTATAAAAGAATAAAGCTTGGCGATTTCCTTTGAAAGCTATTCAACAAGCTTCCCTAAATCCTATTACAACTTAATGTGAAATGCATCTGTTTCCATAAGAACAACAGTGGCACCATTCATTCTTTGTAGTCTGTCCTTTGTTGTGTTTTCTATCTTGTCTTGTAGATTTTTTCACTTTAGTATACCAAAAGCAGAACAAGAACTGATAACATTTTAGCCAAAGCATTTATTTATTAAGCTGATGCTGGAGATTCAGTTTGTTCCTGCTTGCTGCCTGCAACGTGCCAAATTAAATTCTTATTCAAGGAGTTTATAACATACAGAAACTGTTTCAATACTGTCTCAGCATTTCTTGAATGTGAAGTCTGTATCCAGCTACAGATATTTATCTACATCTAACAGCACAGATGGATGTGGTCCATGCATGTGTATACAGAAACCTCTCCCTGTTACTGAGATCTAAAAGTACTGCAATGCCTTCAGCCTGCATATCTTAAATCAGTTCAACATCAGCTCAACACTGCACCATTTTTTAAGAACCTGTACATGTAGCTATAAATACAATATTTATCTAAGACACGACCAAGTGGGTGGGTGAGACATTTTATCTGATGTACACTGTTTAACTGAATCTACATTCAGCAGACTGCAAGGCATATTAATTCTTAGATGCATATTTAGAAAGCCTGAGACAAATGGAGACTAGAAAGAGGAAGATGTAACATGTTTTTATTAGTGTCTTGCCTGTGGAAAAAGGTAATTTTGATAATTTGTACTCTCTGAACCCAAATGTTGAGTGCCTCGCTTATAAACACAGGAATTTAAGTTGTAGCACCCCTTCAGCCATTTTAACCTTCACCATCATCACCATTACAGAATAAAACTATTATTTAACATGATAGTTAGCATGGCTGGAGTTTTTAACTTGTTTTCCCCTCTCATCTCTTAATCAGGTAACAGACATTAAAGAAAAGCTAAAGCTCTCTAAAAAGTTCTGGTCAACATTACCCTACACAATCTGCAAGGACGAGCGAGTGACAGCGGGGCCATCAGTCGAGGAGGACTGCTGGAACGGCCACACCAAGGCAAGGTGAGGTGGTCCCCTCTCCACCACGCTCGCTCCAAACCCCTCTCTGGCCTGAAGCAATCACGAAACCGAGGGTATTTTACAAAACTGAGTGCAACAGAAATGGAGAGAACAAGTAATTGTCCACACGCAGCTTGTAGCCGAGATTACTTATTGTCAAGGTGCCATTAAAGCCAGAGCGTGAGTCAGGGTAAATGTTCACAGCGTGTCAGCATGTGAACACAGAAAATGGTCATTGGTTCAGCTCCAGAAGGATAATTTATACTGAGATTTCAAAGAGCTCTTTAGCTCCATTTAGCATCCCTGTGTTGGGACTGACAGCTTGTGAAGCAATTGCACTCTCGGGATACCATACTGGGATGAAACAGAAATTGGAATTTCAGCTCTATTTGCTATTGGCTGGCAAAGCTTAGGGCTATTTGCTGGGGAAAAAAAAAAAAAAAAAAAAAAAAAGAAGCTGAAAAATAGCCAGCAGAGAATAAATGTAACACTCCTACTTATCTTGTGTAGAAAGCTTGACCTTCTGTTACTTCATCAGAGATACTGTGGTCATTTGCCCTTGTTTGTGATGAGTTTTCTCTGAGTTTTAATTTTGAAGTTTGCTTGGCTCTGGCTGTGGCAGGGATGGAGCTGGCAGATGAGCAGGTGTCTCCAAAGGTCCCAGTGTGTGTTCATCAGCTGACAGAGGAGAGGATCTGATTATCCCTGCTGAGAGAGAGAGAGGAATTGGCCCAAGGTCCATGCTAAGGGCAGTCAGGTTCCAGGTCTGCAGTGGTAACATGTGCTTTCAAGGAGATCAGTGGAGTGGAGAGGTTTGAGTGTCTGGTGAGTGCTGGATCTGGAGAGCAGTGATACTTTCTGGCAGTCAGAGATTGGAATCTTTATTTTCCTTGTATCTGATGATACACCCAAAGCCAGAATACAAAAATGAGCCAATACAACAACAAAACAAACAAACAAACACAGAAGAAAAAAAAAGACATCATATGAAAAAAAATCACAAACCTGTTAGAAGCTGTTTTGGATGGATGGGTGGACAGACATATAGATTGCACCCACTTTATCATCTAATCATTTTTATGAGGAGCATGCTTTACAGGAGCAGGTTTGGCACTGAACACATGCCCTTTTTCCTGCCCTTACTACATAATGCTCAAAATAACTCATTTTACAAACAAGAGCAGAGGGTTGTTTGGGATGCTGCTAGCCCATTGAACCCAATTTGAGATGCACATGAACCAACCTGTCCAAAAGCATGAGTCACTGCTCAGTTTCACAGTCCCAGACCCAGAGAAAGCCCCTGGGGACTCTAAGAACGACAGCTAGGAGGAGCGTCTGGCTATTACAGGACTCATCACAAAGAAACAGTGTGAAGAGAGAAATAAAAGCATGTTTTCACCTTCCTCTATTACATCTCTTTTTGTCAGTGGGCGTTGTAACCTATGAACCCAGGCTGGTGTGCCTCAGCAGTTCAGCACTTTCCAGGCCTCCCATCTGGATGCCATGTGTCACAGTAAGAGATATGTGCTACTCCTTCTACAAAAGGGCTGTCAAATCTGCTAACATCCCTCCTGGTTTCCGTGACCAACGCTGGTGTTTGTACCATGTCTGGCTGCTACTTTTCAGCTCTCTTCTGTTCCTGCGCTGAAGGGTCTGGCACAACTTCCACATTTGTTGGGAGTTATGGAGGTGCATTTTATGCACATAGCCTTCCACCCTCCTTTGGCAGTATTTATCTTATGAGAAGCCTGGTTATTTTCATGATCCCCTCTGAGATTAATGTTCTGGAGCCACTGAGAAAAACTACCCTCTGCTGACAACCTCCTTGATTAATTTAACACAGACACATCATGGGAGGTGAAATCACAGCTTCAAAGCATCACCTGAAAATATGATTTCAGCACGTCCAGCCACTGCTCCTTTGTCCAGTTTCTGGTTTATATCCATTCACAGAGGAAATGTATACTCGTGGTCTTAACTCAATAAATGCTTCAGATGGAGAGAAAAATAATAAATCAGAGATACTATAGAAAGCCATGGCCTCCATATAAAAATAGTATGAAATCTTGACATGATATTGGTTAATTATTATTGAATTACATATTCAATTATTGTTTCATAATGTTGAATAATCTCAATATTTAATAATATTGAAAATATTTTTTAAAATAACTAGCTTTAGATGCAAAAACATCTCTTGGCTGGTGACCAAGGACATTTACTGCAGTGCAAAGAAAAAACATAAATGTTTCCTTGATCATACTGATCAGGATCTGATATCTGACACTAGTTCACAAGAGCCAGGGTGGCAAAACCTGGCCAATATGCATATATCTATTTGTCTTCACTGTGTCACCAGCCATAAACATCCCTGTGCTATATTAGCCACCCTCTGTTTTCCTAGACATTAATACTACAAGTAAGAAGACAAAATGGTATTGGCTACTGTTGGGAAAGGAAATTGTTGCTGGTTTTTGATCAGATCCTGTGGTGGTATAAAAAATTAGAAACTTTGGATTGCCAGAGAGAAGTTATGCCTCATGTTTCATTTTATACATCACCTTCCCATGCTGCTTTTACAGCAGAAAAACGTTACAAACCTGAGATCACAGAAAATGAAAGCCAGGCTTTCTCCTGAGCCAGGCATTACACCAAGGTCACTTGTGGTTATTGCACTCCCTAGATATCACTTTGCTGCCATGATTAATTTACTGTGACACCGGGTCACCAAATGAAGGTCACCAATTTGCGAATAATGGGGTACCAGAGTCATCCATTTGGCATTCTGGAAGGGTGCACTTGGCTTGTTGCTGATCCTGTACGAAGAATGGTTTTAATCGGGTCACATCAGGCAGAAACCAAGTACTGTGGAAATGGGAAAACACTTATTAGGGGAATGAATCTCGTTTTTTGAAAAATCCTTATAAAAAAAGAATAGTAATAGCTACTTCAGACAAAGTGCCTTTTAAAAAGATGCCCAACAGGACTTCCCTCTCATGTCTGTATTCACCAAAGAACTTGAATGTAATGTTATGTTTAAAGAATTGATGTGTTCTGACAGATGTACACAAACGGACTTTTAAAAGATATTTAGGAACTAAAAAACATCATTTAGACCAAACTTTAAAAGTTTAGCTTCTTCCCTATATGCAGATAAATTCTTAACAACAGCTGATAACCTCTTCACTAAGGGATGTTTGCCAGAAATTAAGGATTTTTCCCAAGAATGATTTCATTCAGGCTTTAGGACTTACACCAAATCTAAGGTATTAGCCCCTGACTAAGTGACTTTTACTGAAACAGGGACAGTAACCAAATCTGCAACCAGTCAGGAAAAGAACCTTGAAATGCTTCAACCATCTCAGCCAATTAGTTTCAACCAAACCATATGAGAGATTGTGCTTATACACTATCATCCTGGTGCTCATGCTCACCTATAGACTATAGACCTATTAATATGTCTTCAGCTCTGGAAGGCTGTAATCTGTGGAAGAGATGAAATTTGTGTTTCTTTCCATGCGCAACCTATAAGTCCTCTGAGTACAATGAGGAGGAAATAGATTTATATATGAGGCAGTAATTATTAAAAAAAAAAAAAAAAAAAAAAAGTAGAGAAAGGTAGGAATAGGAGGGAAAATGAACAATATAATTTTCAATGTCTAGCTCAAAATTACAAGGTATTTCACCAAAATATTTCACAGGCTAGAGTCTCAACTTACCTGAAATTTTCTTCTCCTTCTGCCACATGTATGGGAGTGCCTACTTCCCCAGCAGAGCTTTTAATTCCTGGTGAAATTCAGCTGGGAAGAAAGACTCACCAGATCAGTGCCTGCCTTGGGAAAGCCAGCAAGGCTTCCAATGAGATAAGTTGAATATCCATTACTTGGAGGTAGGCAAAAATAACCATTTAGCACCACAAGTGAAAGTGTGAATAAACCATTTGTTGTTAAGTGTAGAAACTGCCTATTCTTAATTGATGGCTCTAGTTTATTTTTGCATCTTCTTCCTTCCAACAAACTGGTAGATAGATGAGCCACTTTCTGCCTCTCCTTCTGTGTCCTCAAGGTTTTCTCCAAAAATATCCTATGGGGATTACCTCCTGAGCAAACAGAATGGGATGAGGTGATCTAGTTAACCAAACAAGCCAATTTTCCACTGCACTTATCTTTCTGGACCAGACTTGACTGCCTACCCCTAGTCCAGCCTGAGTAAGCCTGTGCTATATTTGGTTCCCTATTGCCTAAAACTCTGTGTACCTGGAAAAACTCCAGTACTGCCTAGATGGGATGCTCCAGTCATACTGTAAGCAGCAGCTACTGCAGCAGCAAAATATGGAGAATGCTGCCCTTTTAAAAACCAGAAGAGTTCTCCTTTTCTTTTTTTTTTTTTTTTTTTCATAGCTACAACCTTTGTATAAATGACCTGAAAGATTCATCAGTCATTTCCAGACTTGAAAAGGAAGCAGACACCCTGGAACATTAACTGGATATTTTTTTTTAAAAAAAAAAAAAAAAAAGTGTTTTTAAATAGGCTTTGTGGTACTTGGCTATGATGTGCCAAAAGACATCTTTGTTGTGACTGCTGAAACACAAGAACTGTGGAAAGGCTAAGAGGAACAGAAAGCATTAATATTTTAGAAAACAATGTAAATTACAGTAAAATCCTGACATAGCTGAGGAAGGAGCAAACAGCAGAAAACAAACAGTATTGTTCAGCTTCTCTATACTCACAGGGCTAAGAAAGCTGATTTTTATTTTACTGGGAGGATGCAAAGAACAGACACTGATTCAGATTGGCACTTCTCTTCTTTTCATTTCTAATGGGCACAAGGTTCTTGTAACAGCCAAGCCTAAGAAGAGATCATTAACGAGAGCAGCAGCAGCAGTAAAGCTTAAAATTCACAGGGGTGTCTCCACTTACAGAACTGCAGCAAAAGCAGCTGTGTTCAACAACTTTGCTCAGCCAGCAACAAATCTTATGTCAAAAAAATGGTCCCAAGACATGGCTACCAATTCGGAGTGACTTAACCCTACCCCACACAATCAAAATGTTTTTGTCAGAACATGTGCCAGGCTGCCTCTCAGAGGCTGTTGCTCACAAAACACCTTGGCCTGCATGTTCACAGATCTGTACCAGTCCTTTAAAGGAAGGAAAACAATTCAAAGATATTGACATTCAATATAGGCTGGTCTGCCTTTTTTTCCCCCCTAACAAAGCAGGTGAGCTAATGCAGTAATAAGGGCAGAGTCCAGCTTCACATTCAGACATGTAAATTCATGCAGTTAAATATAGATGCCTGTGGGTGAGACAATAAGGAGTCATTTGTGTTGCTCAAGCAAGAGTACTGTCATTTGAGACCCTCTGACCTGTCTGAGATGAGTGTGACACAGGACACTAACTCCCATCCAGACCAGAGGCTAGGGTAGAACTGCTTGAGCGTTTTAAAAATCATTAACGTTAAGGTGCCTGAAGAGAGCCTCAATATCTTGTCAGTGTAGTCAATAAGGTAGATCTCCACTGCCTAAACACGCTTATCTAATGCTATGTGAGATGATCTAAATAGCCAAGACACTTCCATGGGGCTGGCAAATAAGACACTGCACCTACAGGATATTTAAACACTACTGAAGTGGCAGCAGGACACCAAGTAGCATACATCCTGGTGGCTATAGTGTCACTCAAGACTCAATTCAGCTGCCTGAAGAGAGACACCTAATATAATTTTAGGTGCTTCAGATGTCCAAGACCCCTCCCTTAAGCCTGCAGGTATGTTACAGAACCCACAAATTTCAGGGCTAGCAACAAGGAGACGAGGAACAGCCAGGAGCATTCAAATTGCACCAGATGTCTATGTTTGTGCAGCTAAATCCCAGCAGATGAAATCTAATGAACTAGTCATTTAGCCAAAGGCACGTGGGACTCCAACAGCTGTCCCTCCTCCACTGATGAATAAACTCCTGACTAGTTTTGACTAGGTCTTGTGTTGACTAGATATGGCAAGACTGGGACTCTGCTCGTATACAGATGCTTTCATTTAGACACACAAGTTTGGGTATCTATATAAACCTAAAGATAAATCTTCAGCCTTTCTAATTCTTTTGCTCTTATGTCCTAAATGCCAAGAATCTAAGTATCCACTTAACCTTTAGGCAATCATAAGGGAATGGGTTTCTTGTGATCTCCATCCAGTATGGCTCCCTTACACAGCTAGGTGAGGCACACTGGACCTTTCTCCTGAGAGGCTAAGCCAAGAATGCTTTGGGTATCACCAGGTCCTGAGGAGATACTGCAGGGTGTCTCCTCAGTTTGACTGAATCACAACCTGCGACTGAATGGCCTGGCCTGTGTAAAGTTAGATGGTCTTCAGAAGGTTATCAGAGCCACACTGATCACAGTGCAGAATATGAACCTGGATAAAAAGCACTCACCAGAGCACCCTCTAAGTGCTTTAAATCTCCAAACTAACTCGTATTGTCTCCATATAAAAAGCCCACTAAGTCAGTACATTCTTCTTTTATTGTTGAGGATACAACAAGATGAAGTAAAAAAGAAATCAGCCAGAAAAGGCTATGAACTGCCACTCAGAGCTAGCCATAGCTTCTCATCGACGGCTTGCAATATAGAGCAGCTAGCCCTTCCTAAGCAAGGGAAGCGACTCACATGAACGCTCAGCGATCTCAAATCACTTCTAGCTGCTAACAGCTATGACCATTGTCATGGGCAAGATACTGGGCAAGATGGACATCATCCCTGAGCCAGCAGGCCAATTCTTACCTTCCTACTATTTTTAATCAACTGCACCTTGAAATCGCTGATTTACTTCTAGGCTGAGTAATTTATCTACAGCAGCCGTTTCATTTGTAGAGACATTTGACAGATGGAGGTGCTGTTCCTTTGCAGCCCAGAGCTTCCCTGCACGCCAAGGTCTCTGTCCTGCTGCCTCCTGGCAGCTCTGCAGAATTATTTCCAATTTCTATCCTTGGTGATTCATAACACTGCAGTCTGCAGTCCTCCGTACTAGGGAAGTGGCTCTGTGTTCTCACCATAGCTAAGCCTGTACCACAGGAGTCTGGATGGAATCCCTACAGCATTGTTATTTCTTCTTGTGGTACTAGTGAAACAACAGGACATGCAGTTTGAGGCTGGGTATTTTTGGCAGTCATGTTTTGTTCTTATATGTTCACACTCCCCCAGGATTACTCTCATGTAAGCTTTCAAAGGCCACTGATGACAAATGAATCTCATCTTGCAAAGCGAGGACCTATTATGATGAAGCTAAACCCTTCCCTGGTGCAGCAAAGCAGTCACCATTTTGTGAACTTCCAGAAGCAATACAAAACTTATTTTCCTTTAACCATTACTTCAGCAAAGAAAGTCCTTTGTTCTCCTTTACTTTCACATTTATTTTTAAGGGATATATTTATTTTCTAGGCACATATGAACGTAACACTGGCACCAATGCCAAATTTGAATATTGATAGAGAATTGGGCTAGCACAGGTGAAAGTGAAGTGAGATACTCTTAAACTATTTTTGGTACCAAGCTATCATGAAAGTTTGCCATTAGTGGCTAGACCGTGTTATCATTACTGGCTGAGCACATACCCACACAAGGAGTCCCACAAACATCAGTAGGATAGCCTGGTATGGAAGCTAATTACAAAATAGATCCCATCATGATAAAGAACATGAAAAAAAAGAGTAAATCTGCCCCAAATCCCTTGCAGTCTAAATATTAGGCAGAGATAGGAGGTAATTAAAGACAGATGAAAAGAACAGGGATGCAGTGATACACTATTTTCTGAGGATACCATGCCAGCACAGAGAAATAATGTCAGCCCTTTATCAGCCTAGCAGCTGTAAAACACACATAATTTTTAACAGAGATTCAAAGCAGGAAAAAAAGGTAGCTTTGTAAATGTTCATAACAAGAGTTTCCTGAGGACAAAGAGCAGCAGGGGTCAAAATGTGCATATTTCACAAAAGATGATGAAGACTTTTACCGCAGGATGATGGGAGGCATGGGCTGATTTTTGTAGAGAAGAGATACCTGCAAAAGCAGACTTGCTGCCTGTGAGCAGCCTAAGACTGCATTTGCCAAGGTCAAAGAAAGGAATGCTGCAGTAATCAAGAAACAATAAGCTAAGAGCCTGAATAAAAACTTCAGATGTGTGGATGGATAGAAAAAGCCATACCTTAAATATGTTGTGCACAAAGCACATGGGAGATGCAAGTATGGCCTGTCTGTAAGGAACAAGGACCAAATCAGAGAGAACACTGGAGTCTGGTAAATTCACAACACCCTTTATGGGCCTGAAAGTCAAACAGGCTGCAGTTGTTTCTCATAGTGGTCAAAAAAGGGATGCAAGGAAGAACTGGAGAAGGAAATTCATTAAGTGCTTCATTTAAACAAGGAGAGTCATAATGCCTCAGGATAGCCTTCTAAACAAATATGCTATATATAACAATGGAGTACATATTTTTTAAGCAGAAAGAATTAAAAAAAAAAAAAAAAACTGTTAGGTGGTTAATTTAGTGGGCAGCCATTCAAGACAGTAGAGGATCTGAAGATGCAGTGACTTACTGCTGGCTGATGAACCTCTTCCGGAGTTCACTTGCTGGGGAGTATGTAGAGAGTTAGGAGGTTGCAGAGCTTAAATCCTTTCTACTCTCCATGAAGCTGAGCTACTAAAAAGATCCTTTAGAGTCAGTAAAATTAAAAAACATATTTTTAAAATACTTTCAGTGGAGCTGTTTAAGAACTCTGTAATCGTTATCAGTGTCAAATTGCTTAGCAGAGCATTTACTGCACGGTCTTTTCTTTCTGAAACTTACTGCATTTTAACCTAATCATTCATCCTGCTATATAGATACTTGCCTGAGATAATGAATGATGGCTTAACCAACCAGATCAACAATCCAGAAGTAGACGTGGACATCACAAGGCCAGACACCTTCATTCGACAACAAATCATGGCCTTACGTGTCATGACTAACAAACTGAAGAACGCATATAATGGAAATGATGTCAACTTCCAGGACACAAGTAAGAAATCATTAACTGTCATAAAGTCTAAGTGAACTGTGGAACACATTTATAACTCGGTTCCATTGCAGTGGCTTTCTTTGGGCTTTGTGCTCTGTGCTACTGACAACATAAAAAAAAAGGCTTTTCCTGTCTCTTGAAATTCCAGTTATGTGTTTGCTTTCTTTGCTTTTCCTGCTTATCTTCATGTCAAATGCATCAAGACACTGAGGGCTTTCCATAGTGCCAGCAGTACACTCTTCTTCAGAAGGTCATTCAATCACTTAATTAAATCACAGTGGCTTTCATTCGGATGCTTTACTGAGTGAAAGTCAGCACAACCAACACTTTCCTTTTCCCAGGGTGTTCATCCCCACCGGGGCGTTCGGGGTGGAACAGGAACGGAGAAAAGGGATGAGCAGTGTAACCTGTGGGCCTCATGTTGTTTCCCTTGCTCCTGTGTGGCAGGTGATGAAACGAGCGGCTCAGGCAGCGGGAGCGGCTGCACGGATGACATTTGTCCCACCGAGTTTGATTTTGTCACCACCGAAGCGCCACCGGTCGACTCTGACAGGAGGGAGGTGGAGGCTTCAGCCACGCAGCCTGGCTGCTCACTGCAGACGTTGCTCGTCATCTTCATCAGTCTCGCACTGCAGAGACAGTGGAGATAATCCTGGATCTGGTCAGAGAAACTGTTTTAGCTACAGAAACAGCCAACTTTCTTCTTTTCTTATACCCTTGGACAATGGACCATGCCACAAACACTTGCCGTTTTCTACAAGAAGAGAGCAGTACTGCAACCTGCTTCCCTTTTTTGTTTTCCCAAAGAGTACCAGGTGCCAGACTGAACTGCTTCCTGCTTTTTTCAGATATCTCTGAAGATGATATCCACTCTTGAGAGAGTTCTTTCTCAAACTTTTATTACAGGAGACTTTCTGAGCTTCATTTCCTTTTATGCTGCAAAAGTAAAAAAAAAAAAAAAAAAAAGATCTTACAGTGTGTGTTTTTCCCTAATGAGAAAAAAAGAGGGGGGAAGAAACCAAGAAAGCAGTTTTCTTTCTGAATCAGGCCTGACTCAAGGCTGCTGCAGTTCAACAGAATATCAATGAAACAAAAAAAAAACAGACAAGAAAGGAACAAAATAAAATGCAACCGTTCTTCACTGACAGCCAGGTTTCCTCTAGGAACTTCTGTAGGATGATTCAGGTCATCAGAATGATCATTGCTATAGGGAGAAAGACTGGATTTTTTTTCCAACACAAAAGTATGTCTCAACGGTCAATGTCTTGCACTCCATCTGCCAACCACATCAGATTGGTATGAAGGTAGAGGGACTGAAAAACACGTTTAACTTTTAGTGTGATAATAATTCCACTAGCTTCAGAATATCATGTTACAGTTGTTTAGGATTTAAATCTTAATGCCCAGTGAAAATTTGAGTAGTAGCATGATTTCACCTAGCTTCTTTTAGTATTTATCCATGTTATACAATTGGCACAGATTCCCACTTAGCTTACCATCAGCTGTGGTGGTAGTGCTAAACAACACTGCTGACAAATCTCCCCTCAGGGGGTTGGACAGAAAATAATCTCTTGTGATATAATCTCTTTCCTTTTGTCACTGTTCTGACATCGATTAGGACTTTCTGCTACTATGTTCATTATACTACCAAGACGACAATTCTCTAATGGACTAGCAGCAACCGGATCAATAGTGTGTTTCACACCTAACTACATCTTTCATATCAGTTAATTTCAGTGTCACAAGGATTTCTTCTACAAAATTACAGAACAAACAAATATATAGTACCGACATGGAGATTTCTTTCACTTTTTTAGTCTTAGTATGATCATCTATTTTTATATATATAAAATATATATAAATCACAGATTTTAACTTCTTAATTACAAGCTCAGGGTTGACACTTCTTTGTAAGGAAAAAAAAATTTGGTCAACCAGCTCTTCTTTTTTTGTGCTGCTCTGAAAAGTAACCCTTTAATGACTGGTGAGCACAAAAATCAGAGAAGAGAATTTTTTACATATCCAGTTGTCCATTTCTTAACAGGTTTGTAGGGTGGGAGAGAAAACCTCTCTCATAGGTGCGTGTTTGTGGGGGGCATGTGAGCTTATGTGATAGGCCTAGAGAAGGACATGGATGTTATTTGTGATGGCAATTGTACTCTCAGATTCTTCAAGGATACATTGCTTTAATAATCATTGCCTAAATGACCATGGTCCTGGATAGAGTTTCCTTAATTTGCATCTGGTCGTAAGATGCAAAACACACGGAAGCTGTTTAAGTCTGGGACAAATGAGTGTCAAAAACTTCAAAACATCAAAACCTTCCCTCTTCCATTAGCCACAGACAAAGGGCTTCTGGGACAGTTCTGTGTGGTGTTGAAATGATTCACCAGAAATTTTTTTCCTGATTCTTAGGGTGATTCTGGAAATGGTATAGACAAATCGTGGTAACACTGTAAAGCCAGCCAGCCACATTACAATTTAACAGCAGAGCAGGTAGATCATCTCCATTGCAATCTCTTTTTCTTGTCAAATTATAATTAGCTATTGATTTAGGCATGAAATTAAAGTAGAAAACACACGCCACGTTAGGATAAAGTATACTTTAGCACTTTTACCAAAAAGTATTTACAAACTGTCTATATAGTATGGCTAATAACAAAAAGCATAGGTTTTGAGCCACTTGCATGCCATTCTTTTTTTTTTTTTTTTTTTATTAATTTGTTTGTTTACTTCAGCATATAATGATCTATTCTGCTGGGCGCAGCCCAGCGTGCAGGAGTCACTGGCTAGGTGTTGAGATCAGACATCTTGCAGCAGCCATGGCAGTGCTTCCTGACTCTCCCATGGCACCTTCAAGAGCAGACCTTGTGATTCAGCATTTAATGTCTTCAGGAAGATCAACAGCAGAGCTTAAGCCAATTCTCTCAGTCTTTCCCTGGTACAGCAGGTACTGAGCAGAGGGTCTTTTCTTTTAATTTTTTTTCCTGAGGTTGCACATGCATCTTTCTACAAGAAGAGCCTTTTTAAAACTCCCCCTTGATCATCTATCTCTTTCTATTCATATACACACCCTTTATACACTTCTCCTCCTCAGCAGCTTTTTTTCAGGCATAGTTGAGTGTCATTTTGATTTATCTCATTGTGTGTTTATTCAGTGGTAACTGATACTATTTCCTTCTGACTATTCTGGGTCTGGAAGCTTATTGACAGGTAGCAAAGTCCAAGTCCTCTGAGGCAAGCCCACTGTTGTTCCTGCTCCACAGTGCTGATTAATCAGGAGCTGATATGCTGCTAGGGTCTTTATGTTAGCCTTCAGCCCATGTTTAGGTGATCTGGTGACTTTGCAGCTGCTGCAGCCAACCTGGATGTCCAGGGTGCTCTCAGCTATTAGCAGACCTCCATGGACTCATGGGCAAGGAGAAAGAGGGATCCCAAAGAACTAGGGGGTTTGCTGAAGGCTGTTCTCACTTGGGGAGCCTGCAGGAGGGGTCCTTCTCTGCTTGGACTGGATGTTACCAACTGCTGCTGA